CACTATGTTCATGATGTACTTGTAACATTCATTACACTAGTTTGATTCCTCTTGACTAGGAAGGCAATTAACAGGAGGTGCAAAGGGCTAATACTTTTATTATAATTTGCATCTTTCCTTATTAGGTGCTTTTCATAAAACAGATCCTTTTCTTTCATTTTCAAAAGTGGATTAGGCACTCATACAATTTTGCCCCTCAGAGTGGTTCGTACATGACTACCCAAGAGGACATCACTCTACAAATCCTGCCAGAGTGAACTGGAAGGTGAGTGTGGCATTTGTAGCTTGAGGATGAACCAGTTGTTTGGAGCCAAGTTTGTGCTAATGGAGTTGTCCTCTATGTGTTAACACCCAAAGGAGAACAAATGCAACAACAAAATATTTCAGTTTTTGGCATGTCTATGGAGAGTTAACTTTCCATTGTTCAAGGGTTAATTATCCATTATGTGAATCCCTTCTCTTTCTCCCTCTGGCTGCTTACCTCTAGGAATTCAGTTTACTAGAGGATAAGTAGGGAAAATAAAAAGAGATGAAAATGAAATGAGCACATTTTATTTCTCCATATTAGAAACTCTAGAAAATAATTCAGTGTAGGAAACAGAATTAGATGTAGTGGGGATTGCCAAGTTGATTGACCATTGATAACAGATGTAACTAAAGCACATTTTACACAATATTTTGGTTTCTTTTAATTATTGCTTATTATGGTTGTTTCATTGTATATGAAGTTACTCTCTGGATGTGATTCATATCAGTAGCATACAGTTTAGGGTACTGGAATGGGCCGCTCTTATCCAGTGTCCCCAGAGCACTGAAGGTGCGTTAAGCATACTTCGGCTCAATGACTAAAGCAGCACCAAGCCGTCCTACCAATTTCTCTACTCATCCATGAGAACAATTGTACTTAGCTATTTTCAGCTATTATTTGCCTAAAACGGAGCATTTAATTAGTGCTTGTTAAGATAGTGCAAATGGTTTAACTGACTGTCCTCTTGCCCCTCTCTTTATTTTGCTGTCTGTCTGCCCTGCCTCATCCTTATCTAGTTCACAGGCCAGTCATAGCCAGTCTTCAAGCCTTTCCACAGCTGACATGCCTGAGCTTCCTAGACACTCAGTTTGAGAAAAGGAAGAACCCTTCACTGGCTGTAAGTAAATATTGACAAGCTGGAGAGGCCTTCGGTCAATACATTATAGGCGAGACTGGTACTTTCAGACTACGTGAGCAGACCAAATGGGTTATTTGGCTTACACTCATGAGTCCTGGAAATTGAATGGAACTATTGACCTATGTCTCATCAGAAATCACCTGGGCGTTGCGGGTATTAGAGAAGCTACCTCAGCAAATGGCTGGAGATGCTATCTGCTAGTTGGAAGATCTAATATGTAAATTTAAGGGATTCAGGTATAGAAGAATCTGTGATTTGTTTTCTGGATATATTTCTTCCATTATAATAAGCAAAATGTATTCCTTGTCAATGTATTGCTATTTAGATAGTCATCAATTCATTTATTCACTCACCTATTCATTGATCTTCTAGTCAGACTGAGGCAATTTGACATTGGTTGGGAGGGGGATAAAACATAAAATGCAGTACCTGGACCCTAACCACTTGTTTCATACATTCAAAAAAAAAAAAAATCAAAACTTGAATTCAAAGCAGTATGTGATAAGTAAAAAAATTAAAGCTATAGATTTTTTAAATGCTATCAATGTCAGAAGGGGAAGTTCAATTTTAGTTTGGGTTATTATGAAAAGCTTCAGAGAAAAAAGTGTTATTTGACAAGGATATAACTTGGCTAGGTATCTTGAAAGTTATCTGGAAAATTATAGTTGCTGTTGCTAATATGTAAATACAGCATCAAAGTATTTAAAGTACAACTAAATAGCTGAGAAACTAGAATAAACTGGGTCATTTGTACATAAATTCATTCTTATAAAATAAAGCGAATTCATTAAATATATTTTCAATTTTAAGATAATAGCAATTTAATTTCTTTCTATTTAATTTTAAACTGCTTTATACATATAGCAATTAATATTTTGAGGTTGTGCATAATAGAATTTAGGTATATAACCTAACATGCATATTCGATGAAGGATAATTACCAAGCTTATCGGCTAACCAAATTTTACCTTTTGCAGGTATTATTCATAAATAACTGTGTAAAATTTCTGTTATCAGTGCGATAAAATGTCAGCTACACTTCACTTATGGTCAATTTGAAAAATGTTTGAATTCAAAAGCAAGTAAGTCTAGGTAGTATTTGGTCATATTTTTAATAGCCTAATATAAGTATTTGAGTATTCACATATATAGGCATATTTACAAGATAATGTACATACACAATCACTTGATACAATGAATGAACCCCTTATTAACTTTTTAAAACATGTATTTTTAAAGGAATCACATAAATATCAAGAAGCATTTCTACACAAATAAGAAAAAATGATTTCTTACTGAGTCAATCATAATTCTCTTATTTAGCAATGTCTTTGTGTCTAATTGTGACTACCTAATTAAATGAATATGACATATAGAAAATGCCTACAGCTAAAACGTGCATGCAAGAAAATATACATTTTACAATATGCATCTTCTGAAATGAAATTAAAATTTTCGGGATGAGCACTAGAAAATTGAATTATTGATAGTATACTGTGACGGTTTAAATATATGTACCAAAAAATCGGATATGGATACAACCATTTATACAGAAAGAAATACATCATTATCTTGCCTTTCTATCAGAGGTATACTGATCGAATTAATTTTATACTCTAGCTTAGCCATGGGATTCTTCCATGGCCACGTGGAACTCCACGTCTTGGCAACAATATAGTAAATCTCTCAAGCAGGTTACTTTTTGAAATGTCATCTCTTGGGATATACTCTTAGATATATGTGTTTGCCAATTCTCTGCTTAACAACACTTAAAAATTTTTATATACACACGTAGAAGAGTTCAATTAAAAAAAGCCTTCAAAGTGTTAGAGATCCAGCTTGCCCTCAATGTAGTCCTAATAGACATCCCTACCACAGACAAACAATTCTCCTGGGAGTCTTTGCAGCATGAGTGTTAACTGAGGGAAGGACAATCCCCTATGTATGTCTTGTTGGTAATGGACTAAATGCTAGGTACCTTTTTTCATACCATATTTTAAAAAATTTAACGCCATTTTCCCATTCTACTTCCTTCTTTAGAAAACAAAAGACTTAATGGAAAATCCCCAAGAAACATTATACATACAAATAGTATGGTCATAACTAACATGGCCTAACTGAAATAGGCAAATTACATATTATTCCATACCATTAAACTTTTAGCATACTGGTCCTAATAAAACTGAGACTGCTTCCTATCACAATGACAGCTGAGGAATCTGATGTGCCTCACGAACTATAGGAATTGTGATAGGAAGCTGACTCTTTGTTCTAGGTCACTGACAGACCCTGATGAGGCTGTAGCAGGGGGCAGTCTCTGCAAGGAACTTGAGATTCATGAGCATTCATGAGTTATATGGTTAAGAATCTGAATTGTTTATGAGTAGCAAACAAAATTCCAAAGCTAAGTACCAATGTAATATGTTTAATGACTGCACCAGCTTGGACGAGAGTATACACAACAGACACACATAATACACATCTGGTTAAATGTAAAATCAACTATTGCTAAAGCATTTTTAACTTTTAGAAGAAATCTACTGGCAGCGTGTTAATAGCAAGGAAAACTAAAACAATAAAATAGCCTCTCTTTCCAAATATTTAAGAACATCGAGTAAGTGCCCCTTAGGCTAGATTGTGGTTCTTGGAAGTTTTAGCCTATGAGAACCATATTGGGGACATCAAAGGCTCCTCCCTCTTTCCAAAGAGCAATTCACTTCAGATGCTGCCACAAAGTCAAATGCTTTAATGGCCACCATGTTCCCCCCCCCCACTCAATATTTTGGAGCATGCCAGATTCTTGAAATTGAAAAGAAGACAAAAAAACACAGTAAGATCAAATATCACTGGAAGAACAACTAAGTAGATACCTGATTATAAAGGACAAATACACATTCCAGGTGAAATTCCACTTCCAGGGACTGTGTGAGTTATTAATAAGGACACAGAAGGCACATATCAACTCTGAAAGCTGGTCTGTTGACTCCTCTGTTAGTCTCGTATTAGACAGGATGCAACCACCCCCATTCCATTCCTTCGACAACTTCCCAGAGCACACTCAATCAGAGTCTCTTATATTGAGGACACTACTATATTTGGGTTTAATACTGTGAGGACAGTCATCTAGTTTTTCTATGTCAGGATGATAAATTTCCCTGGAACTAAATAAGGATTCTCATTGCATTCTTCTGTTCGATACCATGAATGCAGAAGAATAAAGGAGAGGGTGTGACAAATAATATTTTTCAAAGGTTGGGTGAGGGGAGGGTCCTTATAACATTTAAAAGCAACCGGTTTTTAGCAAAGTGATCTTTAGAAGAACAGTATTAACAATATCCTCTTGCTATGCATCCACTTTTCTCTTTTGCTTAACTGAGTACGTAAGTATTCTGACCATAATGTAAATGTTCAGAATAGAGATGCATGAAAAGTTGGTAGAAAGAAACTTCAAATGTATGATGAATCCCACTTTCACTTCCCCCTCCTACCACCCCGAATACTACCTCCCTGCTCCCACTCACTCACCTACCTCTCTCCTCCCACCAGCATGTGTGCTAGGCATGTCAAGGCTGACATCCATCGGTGGCAGCATGAAGCCCATGCCTGCAGGCTCCTCCTGAGCATAGACTCAAGGCTCTGCCATTGTCCATAGAGCGCTCTCGGCTGTGCACACTAAAATCTTCACCATTCCATTGGATAGTTTGGTAGCTTTTTTTTAAAAAAAAAAAATTCCTTTTTTTTCTTTAAAAAAAAACTCCCGTTATTTCCTGACTGCCTCAGAAACACCAAGAATAGAATCCTTGACACATCAAATTCTGGAACCTCACCACTCACCAGGACTGTGGTTCCTGATCCAAGGAGTGTCGACTGAGAATCAGCACAGTCTCTTGAGAGTATCCAGGCCTGGCTGCTAAGCTCCCTGCTCTGATTAGTTTGTCGAGTTCACAGTGTTCCAGAGTGCTGAAGCACAGAAATTAGGGAGGGGAGGTGGAAGGAAAATCACTGGAGCCTCTTACGATCTAACTTCCACTAACTGAGAGGAAATGTCTTATAAATAAACAACAGCAACAGAAACAAAAAAAAAAAACTCATCCCGTCCTGCCAGAGGAATGTACATTATTGTCTCCCGACGGAAAACTTTACACCACACCAGAATGCAGCCATGTCTCCTGAAACTACCTCCCTCAAAACAGAAAGAAAAAGGGAGTCAAGAAGAAAAGGAGAAGAAAAAAAGATTTTTTCATCCCCTTGAATTCTATTGGGAAGTTCATGTGAGTTCCCACTAGACAAACTAAAGCAAGCAGTTTCAACAGTGTCACTGTTCCAGGATTTCTTGCGGAGGCTGCTTATTAGCAAAATTTCATTTCTGCCCAGATCATTGCTGTGCCATCCGGACATTTTCAGAAGGGAAGTTCAGGGAAGGGGGGAGGGTTCCACTGTGGAGGAGAGGAAGAAGAGAGGACAAAGGAACACTCCTGGTGAACCGGAATGCCCTAGCCACAGCCATGAGAAAGCCAGCCCCACCCTCCACCCGACTACTGCTTGTTGAGGACTTGGTGATGCGGTGTGTTTAATCTACTTACTCTTTCTGCTCGGGAGGCTGAGGTTCCTACATTTCCAGCTCATGCTGGACTGTACCGTAAGCAACAAGTGAAATGAGTTCAGTGATCTCATTCTAGTCCTTCGACTCCTGTCCACATCGCTAAGCGACTGCACAGCTTGGCACAGGCCGGGATGAGTCAGCAGTCTCTGGTCATGAGAGGCCAGGCCTGGAATAGCAGGGGGGTTTAGGTCAGGAGCAAATCGAAGCAGAAAGGCAGTCGAGATGGCAGGGCTCAGCTCTGCAGTACACGGAGATACTGCAGGTCAAAATGAAAGGGCCTCATCAGCTCTGGGGTGAAGATTGTAGGATTGCAGAAAAAGGAGCAGCAAGGGAAAGACTCAAAACAGCTGCCTACCAAACACAGCAAGAACGAATTAGAGTACCACAATCAGTAAAAGAGGGCACTGGTAGAGGCCTGGAGAAGAAAAGATGCTCATTTGGATTTCTGGAATACCTTTTCTTCCATGTGCTCTTGCACTGGATTTAAGAAACAGTGGTTACCTATATACTATCCTGGTTTTTTGGTATTGCATTTCCAATTTAGTAAGTAGCCAAACAAACAAACAAATAAAAGCAAAGCACTGCACTTTAAGTAACAAGAAGCCTCATGCTACATAAAATAATATAAGTAAGAGCCTAGTATCTCAAAGATATACATTTGGGTCAATAGTGTCCTTGTATAGTTTGCAAAATACCGTTCACAGAATGGTTAAAGAGAAGCACTCCTTAAATCACGCTTCGGTGTGGGTAGAGAAGAACTGAGAGAAAAGAGAGGTATAGATTCAATGATGAAATACTAGAGAAATATGACATGTCCATATTTCTACTCAATGGGGTCAGTATAGACTTCCATCAGGAAGTGACACTTCTCAGCACTAGGAGTTTCAAACACCTCTCCCTGAGCAGTAGTTCTATAATACAGCCAGAGGAGAGGGAAAATGAAACAGTTAGAGGGAAAAACCAGGTCTGACATAAGAAATAAATTAGCAATAGAAATTTGGTTTCGGAGAAGGCAAACTGTCCTATAAGCCAACTGATAAAGAAAAGTCTTAGTGTCTGAAACAAACTTAGACAGACCGTATCTCGATAAAGAAACTGAGGTGGAGACTGAGAATTAGCAGTGAACAGTATTGATGGCCCCAAAATAAGGAAATATACAATCTCAAGTCAGGTGGTGTGTAGCAAGAACAGCATGGCAAAGAGAATAAGATAAACAGAGTTGGGAAACACTAGTAAAAGATATCTTTAAAGTTCTTTGACAAGGAATAATAAGGACTCACTAAATATTACTAATTGTTATCCCTTAGAGATGTACAGATGTGTAAGAAAATGTAAATTTTATTTAGTCTCATTCCAGAGAGTATTAAACCATCTCAATACATCTTTAATAAATGCTTAACCTTGGGCAAATGAACTTTGTAGCCTTCAGTTTCCTTCTCTTTGAAATGGAATATTATCAGTCTTATTGAATTATCGTAAGGACTGAATTAATGTTTGGCTGATGGTTGGTCCTTATCACGGCAGTGTGTGTCACATTGCAAACACTCAATAAATTGCTATTATTTTTATTTGACTATCATATCATCCTCCTAAGTGCTCAGTGAAAGAATCACATCCACTGTTGTTCCACCGGATTGAGTGGAGCCAATATGAAGACTAGAGTAAAATCAGTGGGGTAACACACCTCAGAAAATGCTGCTTTGAAGAGCTTATTTCTGTGTGGGTATGTTAAACATTATCCTTGAGCACAAAGGATGTTAAAAATCTGTTATGTTAAAATTGTGTAATTTTGGGGGGTATCTATGTTGTCAAAGCGGCTTGAAGCTTAACACTATCCGGTAACTAGAAGCCTAAAAAAGAAAAAAAATGAATTTTTAGAAGCTTCTCCAAAAGCAACAGGATAAAAGTGCTATTGGCCTTGACCGCATGATGAGGGTTTTTTACCAAAGGGGAAAACTTAGTCCAGTTGATCATCCCAGCCTAATTGATTAATTGTGGACCTGACCATCTGGCTGATGAATGCTGACACCCAGCAGTGATTACTGTGTAACACAAATCCGGATGTGCTCTCCCCGATGCCTCCCACAATAATGGCAGCTCTGAGCTTAAGGTTAGTTTATTCAGGCCTCTTGGCTCAATCTCTTCATGGAACAGTGGTTGTGGCAGGGAATATTTTACTAGAACTGGTCAAGTATTATCTTCTCTTATTTCAGTTACCCCCTCCTTTCCAGCTCCACGCCTACCCGCTCCTGAGCCCTCTCTTGTATATAATCACTTTTCATGCAAAGCATTCCATCTGTAGTTTTCATCATACTGTCTGATTCTCTCATTTCCGGTTGCTCTGTTCTGAAAAATATTTGACTGGTCTAAAAGACCTGTACTGCTGTTTCACAGGGAATCCTATTGAGACATTTTTATTATATCTTCTTTGCTACTGGCTCACTTAAAATTACTCTGTGCTTCCAAATAAAGAAAATTATTTCACCTAACTCACGAGCCTGATTAAAAGGCCCACATGTGGCCCGAGTTCTCCATGGGGTTGACAGTATACAAAGGTCAATGGAAGTTAATTCTTACATCTTAAATCTACATCCGGTCCCCGGTTTGTAATGTCCCATGGAGAAGACCTTCCCATGAGAACTCTGGAGCACATTTCACTGCTAGAGAAAGAAAGTCAAGCTCATGTAAATAATAGGGATCAATAGCAATGCCACCCATAGACCAGTCTACACTGAGAGCTAACCTGTATGTGGGAGAATTCTCTCAGCAAATCCAATTTAAATGCATACACACACACACACACACACACACACACACACACACGTCAAATTATTTTATTATTTTTTGTGGGAATGCATGGAGGAATAAACAGACACAAAATATCTTGCACAAGCTTGGCCAACAAGTCTCAATGAAGGAAGATTATCTATTTCTCCTCTTCTTTTCCCAGACTGATAACCATCTCAAAATTCATCAATTTTCTTGCTCCCCGCCTATTGCTGAATTCTTCTGTGTTCTAGGCTGGGTTAGTGTTAATTTTCAGTAGAAGATGGCAGTAGCACGCTGAACTACAGAGTTACAGACTGGAGTTGGGAAACGTTTTTGGCCCGACTGTCAGTAAACAACTATGTGTCTAGGGCAAGTCAAGTCCCTCAACTCCCCATGTCTAGTTTCTTCATTGAAAAATGATAGGGTAGGACTGCAGGAACTCCACAGTCTCTGCCAACACTAAGAGTCTATGGTTCTATAGCTCATTTCCTTTTTTTCTCTGGCATTAACTGCTCAACAACTCTGCTTATAGTCATCTCTCTGCTCTCAGTTCCTGATGAAAAAAATATTTCGTTTACTACCCGGTATTTGGTATTTGTAACCTCTCTTCCTCTTTTTTTTTTTTTTTTTTTTGATGCTAGATATTTTGAGTCATAAATATGAATGCGTCCAGATAGATGCTTTAAATTTGAAGGCGTTTAAGGAGAATAGCTTTCCCATGTAGAGCATTTAGTGCAGCTCGGCATGGAGGAAGCCAGCCATCCAAAAGTGGAGCAAAGGGGCCAATTCACAAATGAGAGGAAGCCTTTCATAATAAGAGTCTCCAGACTCTTCAATTTAGATAAAGCTAAATGCTACCAAATTCGAACTACTTTTCTAATCAATCCCAGACACCATCACAGACACTTAGGACTACAAATTTGAGGGCCAGCACTGGCAGTGATGCAGTTCTTATTTCACCTCCACCATGTATTGCCAAGTAGGATTTAGGATGGCATAGTAATAAGAGCCAAGAGGACAATCTGTCATTTATTTTCCTCCAAACTTTTCGAAATTTCCCATTTGGGCTCTGTTTCCCAGTTTTAATTTGGTAACAGCCATTTTTCAGCATTTCTTTTAACAGGTTACTAATAATTTCTGATATAGGATCTCATATTTCATTTTGCGCTGCTAGAAATGGCTGTTAATATTTCATCTACCTTCAATTCAGCTCTGAATAAAGGCTGCTGGGTTTTCGATACACTGTTAACACTTTGGTTCTGGGGATCTGATCACCGATGTTCACCCAGTTTGTCCATATCTCGTTAGGCAAAAGTAATAGATTACCTGTCTGAGAAATATCTCAGGGTGCGCTATACATTCCTGGATCTTTGATGAAAACGACAAAACAATTATTCTGTGTTTGTTCTCCCAGGCAACTTGCTATTTGCTTCACTGGTAGCATTCTGGAAGCCAAGTGCAGTGGTTAAGAACCAGGGCTCACGGGCAGATCTAGGTTCACATTCTAGCTCTGAAAATTACTACGCGTAATTAGGCCAGTTCCTTAACCTTCTGAACCTCTGTTTTCCAATTTGTAAAACAGGGATAATAACAGTGTCTACCTCTATTGCTATCAGGATTCAACAAACCAATGAAAAGTGCTGAGTACTTTCTGAGTTCTCAATAAATGGTGGATATCATTATTACCCTAACATTAATAATCGACAAATTTGCATTCAAATGTTATTATTCCGCAAAACTTTTCAAGGCAAACAAACTACTTTTGAGTCTAGACTTTCATTGTTTGCTTTATTATAGTTTAAATTTTAAAAAACTCTTGGTGAAGTCAAGTAAAATATTTAAAAATTGGTCCTTAAAATCATATGATAGTTAAAAATAGTGTGCAGCATCATATTATTATTTTACCTTTCAATTAGTATCAAATTCTCAAAAGTTTTTCTTCATCTGATAAGGCACATTGTACCAATGCTAATCCATTCCATAAAGAGATGGCTTACCATATTTACTTTCCCCTATTCCCAAAGAATATAGATTATTTTAATATTCTTTGTTTACGTATCAGTCAAGGTCCATCAGGAGAAAGAAACCACATAGCAATTTGAATATGAAAAGTTTAATATAAAGAATTATTAATTATAATAGAGGATTGGAGTAATGAGGGAGTAGCTAGTAAGAAGTAAAGAGAATTCTAAATTATATAAGAATAGGCAAATATAAAGAGCATAACTATTTGTAGGGCTGAGATAGAATACCCAAGGAAGAGTCTCCTCCACCTCTGGACTAGGATCTAGACCTTGCTGGACCAGGCACAGCCACTGAATGAATGAATGGCAGAGAAATTGCTGGGAAGCTGTGTCAGCAGAACTTGCTGGAAATCTGTACTCTAGGGTGTTAGAAAAGCTGTTCAAAGGGAGGTGTCTTATCTGAGGCATGCTACCACCTAACCCAGCCAATGTGTGTATGTGTGCATGTGCATGCGTGCGTGAGTGCGTGGGGGGTGCTAGGGGAACCTGCTGGCCACCAGGCACTGGAGAAGCTATCTGTGCTTTAGCTACTGGGTACCAAGCCAGCTGCACGTGCTGTAGGAGTCAGGCCCTGGAGAAACCATGCACACTGCAGGAGCCTATCAAAGGAGTACATGGAACCAGGAAGGAAAAACCTATTCCTCCTATAAAGTCTCTCTGAATCCTCTATTGACAAAGCACATTCATAGAGCTGGGGGTGGGGTGGGATATTTAAAGGACCCAGATATGCTTTTGTAGAGTGCCAAGGAAGGGTACATTTGGATCTGAGAGGCAGTATATTACAACTGGCATAGCATTATTTGCTCACATACTTTATGAAATAACTCACTTTGTAGGTTACAATACAATGTTCTCAACTTACTATATTACTGTTCACCTATACCAATAAATTGACTCTGCATAACTAAATAAATACTGACGGAATTAAGGAAATAATATTCTATTAAATAAAAGTAGTAATACTAGTATTTGTACAACAATCTTTTCCTTCAAATGCTGCCCATACATTTTTATTGTTTATAATTGACCAATTAAGAAAAAGATGTACAGAAATACTAAACTATTGACCTAAATTTATGCATCAGTGATCTCAGTCCAGAATTTCAATGAAGTGGGTAATCAGGAGAGTCATTGCAAACAACCCACAGCTTCAGGAGTGGTAAAAATGCCCTCAATTATCATTTGTAATATAAGTTTTCCTTTTTATTGACAGTAGAACTCCTATTTGCTGTTCTATGACTATGATCTATAGGTTGCTATTTTTCAGAAAAATGTATCGTATATTTTGAAAGGAATTTTTCCTATGATTCCTGTCCTATATTGTTCTGCCCTCAGTATGAAACAGAGAAGCATCAGTAAATGACCAATTTGGTGCATTCGTCAAAGTAACAGTGATCATTGTTAAAGCTCACTGTATACCATATAGATGGGGAGGTATATGCCAAAATACTCCGCCTCCCCCGCCCCCCCGCCGCCCATTTGCCTAATTCCTAATTCCTTTAAGAGGACAGAAGCTCTAAAACACAAACGCTTGACATTAAAAAA